TTCCTTCTATTCATAGGGAATGCATCTTTTTTCACCCTTTTTCTGTTAACTTTTGTAATCAGTGTTTAATTAGATTATTTAGGGGTGTTTTATCTAGTCAGTTTATCTTCTAATTTCTTTTTTCCTCCTAGACTGTCTTAATTGGAATATTGAATCTAGTAATAGATAAAGTGATTTCAAGTATACTTGGATTTAAATCTGCCATCTTTTTTTTGTCTTCTCTTTTTTCCCACCTTCCCTTCCCCTACTTCTTTTCCTCTTTATAGCTGCATTCTTTTGTTGGTCTCAGCACAAAATGTTGGACTGGAGATTTATAGCATATTGATGATGTTATTGTCATGAAAATGAATTAAATACCCAGGGAGAAAGGAAAAATACAGTATCAGAGATGAAGATTGAACTTAGCAGCAGACTAAACACAGCAGAGGATACAATCTGTAAAATTGAAAGCCAGTCAGTAGAAATTATCCAAACTGAAATTGAAAGAAAACATTAAAAAAAAAAAAAAAAAAAACAGAGTATCTAAGATCAATGGGGTAATATCCTAACAGTTTAATGCATATTTTCAAAATCCTAATAGGAGAAAGTAGAGATAATGACTGAGAAGTTTTTTTCTTTTTTAGTGGGACATAAAATAAAAAGTGGGACATTTTGAAAACAAATGAAATAAATGATAAAGTGATCTTAGGCCCTTGGGAAGAAGAAAATTCAAACTTCTCTGGAACAACTTAGGCCTCAAAGAACTCCTGTAAAGGAATTTACCTGATGGTGCAGTGGCGCTTTCACTGCTATAACCCAGATTCAGTCCCTGAATGGGGAACTAAAATCCTGCTAGTCACACACTTGAAAAAAGAACTCCTAGATAAAGCTTCCCCAAATAAGAGATCATAGTCAGACCATAAATCCAACTGAGAAACTAGACACTGTGGGATTGAACTAATGGAGGAAAAAAGAGAGACAAGTCAGACCTCTTAAGACTTAAGATACTAAAATTGTCAGCACAGATTAAAACATGTAAGACAAGCATATTTAGTATGTTTAAGAATAAATTGGGCTCTTTAAACCATCTTGGACTCTGGAGGCTTGCTGGGAATAGGACTTCTAAAACAACAAATACGTCTGGAAGGTTGTGGTCCGAGGCCATTTTTGCTGGCTGTAAGCGGGATCTATGGAACCAGAGGGAACCACACAACTCTCCTGAAAATTGAAGGTGTATATGCTTGAGATGAAACTGAATTCTGTCTAGGCAAGAGATGTGTTTATGTGTGCAAAGCAAAGAACAACTCACTGACTCCTGGTGAAAAACCTACCAAAACCAGAGTAATCTGGGGAAGGATAACTCACGCTCAAGGAGACAGTGACATGGTTCATACCAATTCCGAAACAATCTTTCCTGCTAAGGCCATTGGATCCAGAATCAGTGTGATGCTGCTACTCTTCGAGGATTTAAACTTACTGAAAAATAAATAAAGTATGGATTTGTTTAAAAAAAATTTTTTTTTAAGGAATTGAGATTATGAATAAGGAAGGGCACAAGACTTATGGGGAAGATTTAATAGCATTTTGCACAAAGTTGAATTTTGAATTGTAACACATCTGAAGAATGTAGCAAAAAGTGGAAAGAGGGAGGGCAAGAAAAAAGAGAAATGGAAAATACATGAAAAAAATGAGTTACATGGTAAAGAATGTAAAACTAATGTGTTTAGATAGAGTTCCAGAATGAAAGAAAAATGGCAGAGGCAGTGTTCAAAGAAGAGATCCCAGAATTGGATGAAAGACACAACTTACATATTCAGGAAGCCTAATGAATCTCTCGAGCAAGATACAAAGGAAGTGTACACATAGACACATCCTGGTAAAACTGTACAATAGCAAACAAAAGACAATCTTTGAAGAACTGTTACAAGGAAATCAGAATACGGTGTCAGTTCTGTTATTGATGCAATCTAATGGAATGTTGAATATGCTCAGAACAACCATCAACCTGTAATTGTACACCCAGCAAAAATATCTTTAAGAATAAAGATTAAAAATAAATTTTCAGATAAAAAAAATCAATTTGCCAGCAAAAGACTCATCTAAAAGAAATTTCAAAGAAATTACTTAGGAAAGAAGGAATGTGGTTCCCATTGAAAGACTTGAGATACAATAAGGAATCTCTTGTAATCAATATGCTTTTGCAGCCACCATTGTTAGAAGATGGATTCCACTTGGCACTTCTTTTTGTACGGCTCACTTTTGAATCAAAGTCTCATGAAAATACATTTCACAGGAAGAGATGGTAGATCATATATCTGCACCTTAGTTTTCAGGCAAATTGGGCATCATAATGTGCCACATATTCATTTTTCAATCTTAACTAGTCTGTCCAAACTTGTTCAGTACTGGCCTTCCACAAAATACAGCAACCTTTTCTTGCTTACTAATTAAGTAGCTCAACTTGAGAAATGGTAGAGAGATGTTAGATGATAGAGACGCTTTGAAAGTGTCCAAAAGATACTAAACTGAATAAAAAACCGATTGTAGAATCTTTGCAGTGAGATTTATCTTTAGGTCTGTTAACTAGAAGGAGCTGCTCATGAGAGTAATGGCACCTACTCTGGTATAAAAGGCTAGCAAAGCAATCATGTATCATTCCTTTCCCCTTCTCACCCTTCTGTGTTGTTCTGTTCAGTTCAGTTGCTCAGTCGTGTCCGACTCTTTGCGACCCCGTGAATCGCAGCACGCCAGGCCTCCCTGTCCATCACCAACTCCCAGAGCTTACTCAAACTCATGTCCATCGAGTCGGTGATGCCATCCAGCCATCTCATCCTCTGTCGTCCCCTTCTCCTCCTGCCCCCAATCCCTCCCAGCATNAAGCAGCGTGACAACATACAGCCTTGACATACTCCTTTTCCTATTTGGAACCAGTCTGTTGGTCCATGTCCAGTTCTAACTGTTGCTTCCTGACGTGCATATAGGTTTCTCAAGAGGCAGGTCAGGTGGTCTGGTATTCCCATCTCTTTAAGAATTTTCCACAGTTTGTTGTGATCCACACAGTCAAAGGCTTTGGCATAGTCAATAAAGCAGAAGTAGATGTTTCTCTGGAGCTCTCTTGCTTTTTTGATGATTCAGCGGATGTTGGATCTTTCTAACTCCAGCTTGAACATCTGGCAGTTCATGGTTCACGTACTGTTGAAGCCTAGCTTGGAGAATGTTGAGCTTTACTTTGTTAGTGTGTGCTGCTGCTGCTGCTGCTAAGTCACTTTCGTCATGTGTGTGAGATGAATGCAGTTGTGCAATAGTTTGAACGTTCTTTGGCATTGGCTTTCTTTGGGATTAGGATGAAAACTGACCTTTTCCAGTCCTGTGGCCACTGCTGAGTTTTCCAAACTTTCTGGCATATTGAGTTGCAGCAGTTCCACAGCATGATATTTCTATTTGTTACAGTCTACTAAATCAATGTCATGACCCACTAGTGGGTCACAACCTATGATTTCGAAAATTCTGCTTTAGGAAGGTCCTTTTTAATGAATCTGTTGGTAAATTCTCTTTTTATCTAGAAATGCCTTTATGTCATCTTTTCTCAACAAATTTTCTTTTGGTATACAATTAAAAATGTTTTCTCTCACACTGAAGCATACTATTTTCTATCTTTTTTTTAATTGCTTTTGAATCTGCTATCAGTCTGATTATGGGTGATCCTTAATTTTTTTCTGTGTAGTTTTATGATTTCATTGTCTTTGATCCCATAACTTACAGTTTCACTAGTGTGTATTAGGTGCTTATTTTTTATTTAACCTGTGTGATTTACCTTGTGCTTCGTGTACCTGTGAAATCCTGTTTTTTATCACTTCTGAAAAGTTTTCAGCCATTGTATCAGTTGAGATATGGTTCACCTACCATGAAACTCATCCTTTTAAAATTGTACAGTTCAGTAGTTTTTAGTATATTCCACAAGGTCATGCAGCTATTGCTGCAGTCTAATTCCAAAACATTTTCACCACCCCTGCTATATCTAATTTGAGCTGTTTCTTGACTCTCTTTTAGACCATCCCCTAAATAGTTAATTCATTAAAAAACTTTTTACAATTAGGTTTTTCAGTTATAAAAGTCTCATTTGGTTCTTTCTGCAATTTGCATAGCTTTTTGGTCTTGTTTTGTTTTTTATAATAGTGTTTTTGCTCATATTTGTAATTCCATTTTATATTTTAAACATTTTATAGTTACTTTATATTCTATAATAAAATATTCCAAAATCTGAGTTCTTGGGGGCTTAAATCTGTTACTTATTTTTTGTGACTCTTGCTTGTGATAGATTTATTTCCTTTTATGTGTGTAGTAATCTTTGATTATAACTCCTGTTTTGCTGATCCTAATCTAGGGAAAAATTTGGGACCAAAATTGAAGATGCTTTCTGAGAACAATTTTTATCCCTTCTGCCAAGACCCAGAGACGCTGAAGTTTCCAGCCCACTTCCAGGTTCTTTTTCTTGTTAGTGAGGCTTCTCAGGTTTAGCTGCACCACCTTGCTCAAACCTTAAGCACCATTGTCACACATATGTCTTAAGGCAAGCCCTTGCCCATCACAGCTCTAATTTCAGTTTCAGGTCATAGCTGATTTTTGAATTTTGTTTTGTTTTTTTTCTTCTTTGATTGCCCCTCTTGGGATTTACTTTTCTTTCTATGGTTCCTGCAATACAGTGAAAATTGTGTTTTATAATATCTGGTTGGTTGAGGGGCTTTTAGCCAGGGATAGGAGTAGGGGATGCCACAGTATCTAGTCCACCAGACTGCCAAAAGCGAAGGTGAAGTTAAGGTCTTTCAACTTTTGTTTATTTGAAGACAGCTCTTAGTATAACCACACACTAATTACCCCACCAAATTGCTACTTGTGTTCTATCTGACTTTAACCGGTACCATTAAATGTTACGAAAAGCCCTTTTTCTCTCTTCCATTAAGACTGCTTTATTTATAACATTCACCAAGTTCATTTTTTTGTTTATTTTGTGGTTCCTGTAGGATTATGTTGACAAAGAGAAGGCCATTGCCAAAGCATTGGAAGACCTTAGAGCCAACTTTTACTGTGAACTCTGTGATAAGCAGTATCAGAAACACCAGGAATTTGACAACCATATCAACTCCTATGATCATGCACACAAGCAGGTGAGGAATAGTTATGAGTATACTCCCCAAAACTTGTTGACTGTGGTTTCTTGTATCTGCCTGTCTTTATCTGAGATTGTCTGACTGACTTGAATTTTTTTCAGTGACAGAAGTCCTGACATAGACCTCATCCTTCTAAGATTGTAAAGTGAAGAATTGTGAGCTTCATGCACAGAATTTTTGGCTTTGAATGGTTTCTAAATTTGCATTTAGTTTGATAATTCAGCTGAGGATCACTGGGAGATTTGTTTCCCTTTCACCCTGTTCCTGAATTTGTTCAACTTTGAACAGTTATCTCAGGCTTTGGTCATTTCATCTTCTGTTATCTAAGAATTCATGCTGTGTTGGGTATTTCCTATCAGTAAGTCATTTTGTTACTTGGTATACCTTGTAAGATAGATAAATCTTGAGAAGGGAAATAAAGTTAGATGCTATTTTAATTTTAACAAAAAATTCTGATGCTGCATGTTGAAGAGCTTGCTGAAAAATGAATTACACCTTCTTTATGGCCTTTTTTTCTTTCTTCCCATTCATTGATTTAGAAAAGTAAATTGTTCCTAACTAGTTACCAGCATAAAGAAGGTGCAATAATTTCCTTGGAGGATTTTAGAAAGAGGAAATGAGTCTTTAAACCTGTAGGACAATTCTGGCTTATTAAAGAATTTTGAGACATTTGATCGTAGGTGACTTCAGCAGAACTTGCCAGGTCTTTGGGGGCACAGTGGTTATATTTGATAAATTTGTAAGATTTATGAGCATTGATTGCTGAAGTGCTCTTATAAGCTGGACAGTTTGAACCGTTTTTCTGATCTTTGCTTCATCTTCCAACCAACCATTTCAGTGCATGTAAAAGGAAAGTTTTGACCAAGTTTTCTTTTACTAGCATAGGAATAGTTTATAAGTTTATAATGGTTGTGGTCTTCCACTTTTTTGCAGCAATCTGTTCTATAGTTAACCACACCTAACCAGTTTAAGATTTAAGAATCTGCCATTAATAGAGTTGTATTGAAGACAACTTTTCAACTTTATATGCAACTTTGGACATTGTTTTAATATATTGTCAGCTCTGCTTGATTTGAGGAAGAGAAACAGAGAGAGCATATATATGAACAAGACATATTAGCAATTACCGTACTATTTCAAAGACTCATATATCAGGAAAGACAAATGCTACAGTGACTGTTGCATCCAATTTATTGCATCCAAATTATTGTATCCAATAGTGTTTTTTTAGCTTTTTGATGTGTGTAAGTCAAATTTGGGAGGTTTTTTTGTTTTTGTTTCATTTTCTGGAATTAACAAAGATATTTAGCATCTAAGTATATGTCTACCATTTTGGGCTCATGAGAATTTCTTTAAGAGATTTCTTTAAGAATTGTATTTGATAAATTAAAAGAATAGTTACATGTATATGTGTAACTAAATCATTTTGCTGTATACTTAAAACTAACGCATTACAAATTAACTATATTCCAATATAAAATAAAAATTTTTTTAAAAGTTAAGACTCCAGAAGAAACTTTAGACACCAAAAGAACATTAAGAAAGGTTACATTTCTAGTTGATAAGAAGTTTCTTGACTTCCCTTTCTTAGAAAAAAATGAACGAGGAAGTGTAATTCAAACTTGAATCTTGTGTTGACTTGCTTTCAGCAGGAAAAAAAATTCTGTCAGAGCAAAACAGATTGGCAAAGTAAATCTGAGAAAACTTCAAAACTAATAAAATTCACATTGACAATAATTAATGTGATGGATGATGATTTTTAGTGATATGCTCTCAGTTTGAGAGTAGTAAAATTATTATAGCTCTGGTTCATTTGAATTTCACACGTTTGTTCTCCTGTGCACCTTGTGTGGACTCAGTTCTCTCACCACTTTTCTCTTCTGTAGTGATTCTTCACCTGGGAAGGTTTTGCCTCCCAGGGGACACTTGGCAATGTCTGGAGACATCTTTGATTATCACAACCAGATAGATGGTGCTAATGGTACCTAGTGAGTAGAGACTAAGGATGCTGCTAAACATCCTATAATTCACAGAAAAGCTCCTTGCAACAAAGAGCTACCTGGCTCAGAATATTGATCAGTAGTGCTGAGATTGAGAAACTCTCTTCTCTTAAAACTATTGAAAAACTTTCAAGTACCCATGAAACTGTGTGGCTTTTGTTTGCTACAGACCAGTTTCTGTCATTTTAAGCCCCCAGCTGTAAACATTTATACTGTGCTCATCTAAATGATCTCAGATATTGATGTATTACTCTGTTAGAATATCATCAAAATGAAAATAAAAAATTAAGGATTTCTTATTTGAATTACCTTATCCATTAGTATAAAATATATCTGTGATTCCTGGTCTGGCAAAAAAAAATCTTTAGCTGGTATGATTAATGAATTCATGTAAGTTGATTTCTTCATCTTGATCAAAAGCCCATCTTAGATATTAAACAAAGAACAGATGCAGTATAAGTTTGTTATTACAGTTCTACTTTTTCCTGCCTTTAGGATTTCTAAGGAGACTTTAATTGACCTTAGTACAAAACAGCTAGATAACTTCTGAGAAGAGGAGATAGGTCCTATTTTTCATTCCTCTTTGATGGACATGAACTTACCATACAAATGGACCTACCATTTTCCAAATTTATGCTCTAAAATCATAAAGACACCCTGTCTTGTCTTCCAGGCAGGCACACAGGATTATTATGAATCTGAGATAATAGGTAAGTACATTCAACCCTATATTAGTAATCCACAGTTTGCATCTTCTATCAAAGTTTCACCATTAAAACTTTCCAGAGAAATAATCTATTATGTTAGTGGTAAACTTCCTAGTATAGGTAGGATCCTGAACACGCCCTTATCTTTATTAAGCACAAATAATTGCTAGTGGTAAAGAACCTGCCTGCCAGTGCAGGAGACATAAGAGACACGGGCTTGACCCTTGGGTTGGGAAGATCCCCTGGAGAAGAATGGCTGTCCACTCCAGTATTCTGGCCTGGAGAATCCCATGAACAGAGGAGCCTTGTGGGCTACAGTCCATAGGGTTGTGAAAAGTTGGAGATGACTGAAGCAATTTAGTGTGCACATATACAATCTCTCAAAAAGGATCTATTTGGTCACCTTCATTTGTGGTGATTTTTTTAATCTTCCCCACCTCCTTGGTGCTGTGTACATCTCACTATTTACTATTCACTAGTTTTTCTCAGTTTTCTAAGATAATCTTGTGAAGAGAGTCATTAATTCGTAAGTATTAAGACCCAGCTTGATTTTCAGAGATGAAAATCCTACTTAGACATTTTGGCTGTTTTTAGCAGTTTAACACTCTTTAATAGTGATAATTTTGTACATTTTGAGATCTCCAAGGATAAGCCTTCCATTTCTCAAGAGGTAATCCAATCTGTGATTCATTTTTAGGTAAGTTAGTTTAATATGCCTGAGTGTTCAATAAACATTAGTATTCATCTTCTACCTTTGTTGGCTTAGTTGTAAAAGCTAAAGTTGACTGTGAAGCAAAACATTTCTCCATCTCTACCTCTGTATGCCTTTTTATTTTACATAGCTTTTAAAAACACATATCTGCTAATGGATATACAGTGGAAACCATTTTCTTTAGCCTTGCAAGGTTTAAATTCCAAACTCCAAAGAATAGTCTCTTTCCCAGAGGTAAATTTGTAGCAGCACAGTGGTTGGTGCATTATTTTAACACTGATGTGTTTTAGTTTTGCTTTCTTAGTGCCTTGTTACTTATTCAGGATTCTTCCAGTCTTACTCTTTTATTTGTGCCACTAAGGGGCCCTCCTCACTAGCTTCCAGTACATAAGCTAGAGATCACAAATTCCCCCAGATGCATGCACAGTTGTCCCTTGAACAGCATGGGGTTACCCTCCATGCAGTCGAAAATCTGTGTAGGATTTGTTGTTGGCCCTTCATATCTGAGATTTTTCTCCCTATCGATGGTTCCGTATCTTTGGATTCAACCAACCCCAGATCTGTAGTATTTATTATTGTACTATAGTATTTGCTATTGAGGAAAATCCTGTCATATACTACTGTAGTATTTACTATTGAAAAAAATCCACGTATCAGTGTATCTGCACAATTCAAACCCCTGTTATTCAAGGGTCAGCTGTGTTTTGTCTGGTATTTGTGGTGGTAGTTCTTTCTCCTTTAATTTCAGTTGATTCCCAACTTTTTAAAATGAGATGTTATATAATTCAGGTTTTGACTTATCTTGAAAAATTGAAGCTTCTGAGAACACTGGGCCTACATAATCAACATAACAGTTGGCTAAAGCTGAAAGCTTACCTTCTCTTTAGAAACGCATGTGCTCCTTCTCCAATTATATGTGGTTTCCACTTCATCTTCTCTTACCCCAACCTGTATGACTCATTATGTTACCTGCCAAATCCCTCTAAACATTTAAGTTTGTGACCCAGGCCTATACCTTTCCCTCATCTTCACACAAGCTTCCACAGGTTGTAGTTGATGCTAGGGAAAGTAGCACATTGAAAAGATGCCTGCTTGTTCCTGCTTAGTTAGTGTTGGTATAGCTTCCTTGCAGTTTCAAAACCATGCGGTAGTACAATCCAATTATCAAAATCTGGTACTGTAAAGCAGCCTTGAGAAATTCCTTTAACTTGTTCAAAGAATCAGTATCTCCATCAGAGTAAAGAATGCTTTCAGCCCGCCTCTTCTTCTTGCTAAAATAGCTTCAGTATGAAAACCCCTGTACAATTCTACTTTTTTAAAAAAAGAAATACCGAGGTCTGTTTTAGCTGTAAAAATAATGGTTTCCTGAACTTTATAAATGACTGAACTAAATTACTAAACCATTTAAGCCTGTAACAGGTATTAGTGACTTCACTATTCTGAACTGTACAGAGTAGACTCTATAACTGCTACATGATTTAAATTAACTTTGTCTAAACTGTTGACTTTCTGACAGCAGTGCTTGTTTTTAGTTAACTAGCACCGGTAATGTGTACCAAAATACAGAAATGTTAAAAG